AGGACATCAATTAAACCCTAAAATAAGTTATAAAAACTATACAGTGGCTCTGAACTTTGCCGGAGGTGAAGAAGACGAACAGGTTAGGGGATACGGCTCTCAAAGGAGGAGAACCGGCTCAACAAAAGAGGGAGTCGGCTCTAGGGCTTGTAGAGCCGGCTCCACATGAGGTGAAGGCGGTTCCACCAAGGGGAGAGCCGGCTCCTTTAGTTTGGGAGGCGGCTCAACCCTCTTTTCTTCAGTTTTTCGAGTTCTGGGTTTGGTTTGGACTGTGGGAGTTGTTTCTAAATGGTTCCAGTGGCTGTGAATGAGATTTATATCTGTTACAGACTTGTAAAGACTCTTAGGAAGCATGTTGATGTTAATATGTTGCAACAGGAAATAATATAAGGTTAAACAATATACCTGTATGTGGAAGGTTGCATTATACATTGAAATTGCTTATTGTTTTTCTAAAGCAATTTGGTTTATTCGCATGATTTTAAACTGTTAATCATGTCTCAACTGTGTTATAAGTATATAGTTATTTATCTGGAAAAATAAGTATGCTTAAATGGAAAATAATTGATGTTTTAAAATCAACTGTATATTGCATCAGTTATGGTACTGTTTGGAGGAGTTGTATACGTAGTCCTACTTTGTAAATTTGAAGGACTGGAATAGGATTTCTAAATCTTATATTTGAAGTATAACTTGATCATATGCATATTAAACTGTATTTATGCTAATTCTAGAGTATGGTTGATAAGTATCTATCACTGTTTTGTCAACTTTGTTAACTGGAGGATTGTATGTACCGGTATGGGACGGTGACATACTAGGTATGGACTAGTTCAAACACTAAATTCTACCTAATTTGGATTAAGGTACGGATTAACCATTTAGGTTAAGTCCAACACCTACTTGTGTCATGTCAACAAAATAGTTGAATGACTTAATGTGGTTTCAGGACGGATGTCTATACATATATCAGACCACTACACAGATGGATGGTATTTTGTATTATGAGGAGTACGGACTTTATATATTTATTATATGGTGCCATGGTATGAGCTTGAGTCTTGGGACCATGGTTAGGACACGTATATCGCCTAGGATGGATAACTGGACATAGGTGTTGTTTCCTGGTAGGTCTAGGTACACATGACCACATTATGTGCGATTTGCATGGTATCTCTACTCAGGCTGAGACAAACCTATTGGACTAGCGAGCGTCCTATAGTGTGTACTATATATACATATAGACTACTCAAGATATTGTTGGGCTATCTAGGATGTATCTACGTATTGGATTACTATACAGATTGTAGTGGAATAGGACTTGCATGTGGGCCTGACCCACTCTCTTATTTTTCAGGCGTTCGTCAGTTCCAGGATTAGAGCTTGGACGTGCAGTGCAGATACAGACATTCATTCCTCCAACTACGTAGGAATCCTTTCTATGTTTAGCTTTAGATTCTATTTCTGGTGTTTTAGTTTCTGTTGGGATTTTTTTATAAGGGGTCCACTGGATGGATTCTCGAGTTGTTAAACTTATGGAGTTTTGGAGTATCGGATTTTAATAATTATATTTTGAGGATTTTAAATTAGCATTTCTTCAGTTTATTATTTTTATTTGTTATTTCGCTTTATATTCTGTGTTCGGTTACATATTGATTGTTTGATATTCCCTCGGATTTGGGCTTGGGCCTGATCAACCCATGTTTTGGATCCGAGGGGTATCACATAATCCATGTATAATTAGAGACTAAGCCCTAATTCCAATCTTAGCCGGCTCATGAAACTATCTAAGTTGTAACATACGGCGGCTTACTATACAAACCATCTTAAAGAACCCTACTGTTTAATTAACGTATTGTTTTAAAAAAAAACTCATTCAACTTAATTTACATAATTAAATAAATAGATCAAATAATTTAAGTCAATTAAATCAACGAATGCAATTAAATCAAATAAGTCAATTAATTCAAGTAATCAATTAAATCAAATAAAAACAATTAACTCAAATAACCAAGCAACAGAAACAATTAAATAATTAAAAAAAAAAGCAACAAAATACTAAATTAAAATACCATAACTATCCTTTTAAAATTAGGGGTATTACATTTTTCTCCCAGCACAGCATAGGACCAGCTAAGAGATTTATTGGAAAAAATGTGGTAATTATAGAGTAATAGTAGATGAATATTCTCAGTTTGTTTTTATGATTAGATATGAGTGGTTATCCTTTTGTCTAGGTGCAGTAAATCATTAATACTAAAGGGTTCTTTATGTATTAATAAAGGGATAGTCTTTTCACGGTACAGGGGCATACCTTTAGACTGATGGTTGTGATAATGAGAAATGCGATTCTTTGTATAGAAAGTTGTAATAAGGGAAATGGTTTAGACTCTGTGTATATGGTACTTCATATACTTCTGTGTTGACTGTTTTGTGAGATAGCATGATGATGTGATGATTATTTTTCCCTGATTTGTATGACCCCCTTTCCGATTCCTATTCTTTGTTTGGATTCATAGGGGTATTAAGGAGTGGTAGTTAGGCATTTCCTGCTGAGCTATGGTTGCTCATTCCTATTTTATATACATTTTTTTCAGGTTATGGACAAGAGGTCGTAGAGGAAATTCCTCCACAGCCATGGATGGATGTTGGGTTCTATTTGGTTATATATCTTTGTATAAATGGGAAATGTATATTTTGAGACCAACATGTATATTTGTAAATATTTTTTCAAAACAAATCGTATTAAAATATTGTAATTAAAGGGTTATGGGATTTTAATTATGAAACCTACTTTTGTATTTTTAGATAATGTGTGGACATGGAAATGGATTTTGTGCGTGCATGTTGGGACAGGGTACTTTATTTAACATAACTTTTGAAACAATGGATTTTCTTATTATCAGCCTTTGAGTATTAAAGTTTTATCCAAAAAAATTTTGACATTGTTCCAGGGCTCGGTCAGACATTTCTGAATACAAGCATTTCTTTGTTCTGTTTTATATTCACAACCTGAATTACGGTCTAAGGTCGTGACACTACTGTTGTTCCAAAGTGGATATCCGAATAACTATCCAGTAGGAGATTGTAAGAATTAGGCGATTGAATGAAGGACTGGAATTACCACCTTCAAAGGTTCTTTTTGCCTTGAAAAATGACTTTTGGACTATTCTATGGCTAGTGGAAAGGAAAGCGGTATTGAAAGTGCAGGATTTCAAAGTAAAGTGCTGGAAAGTAGGAATAGGACTTGAATTAAACATATTGAAAGTGCATTACATGAATGTAAAGATACATGAATGTAAAGAAATTGAAGTCCTGTTTGGCTGTGTGATTTAAACAAGGTTTGCAAGTAAAGCATAAGTGCTCTATTTATAGAGCTTTCCATGCATGTAGCAGCTTGATGTGCTAGCTTCAGCAGCTTCCACGTGGCCAAATCTCGGACTGCCATGTGTCCTATGATCTTTCAACCTTATCTAAATGTTGCCAAGTGTAAAACCGTATTCTCCCATGACTTATAACGGATAGATGGTAGACTTGGTGGTTGAATACATGCTTGCAAGCCTTCTCCCACGTTCTGGAACTTTCCAGATGAAAAGGCAGCAGTTACAGCAGCAGTTGAGAACTTCCACCTGGAAGGTCCGGATCTTGCCACGTGTCCCATGTCTTCCTTAGTCTTCTCATAGTGTTGACACATGTAAGAACATGTTCTCCCATGATTTATAACTGATAGATAGTGGACTTTGGTGGTTGAATGCATGTTTGTAGGCCTTATCCCACATTTTGTAACTGCCCAGATAGAAAGACAGCAGTTCCAGCAGTTGAGAAATTCTATTTGGAAGGTCCAGATCATGCCACGTGTCCCACATTTTTCTCATATTCTCATAGTGTTGCCACATGTAAGAACATGTTCTCCCATGATTTATAACTAATAGATAGTGGACTTTGGCGGTTGAATGCATGTTTAAAGGTCTTATCCCACAATTTGTAACTGCCCAAATGGAAAGACACCAGTTCCAGTAGTTGAGAAATTCTATCTGGAAGGTCCAGATCATGCCACGTGTCCCACATTTTCCTCATATTTCTTTGGTAAATACATCATGTTTTTAGCCCACTTTGCTGATTTTTAGTAACCTCTTCACCTAAATAAGGCAAGTGATTGCCTTATTCTTGGAGTGACTCTTACAAATTAGGAGATATTATAGGAGTGGAGGAGTTATCATTCTTGATGACTAGGTCAAAGGTACACATGGCTTTCCAGATATTTGCCACGTGTCCCCTTGGAAAGTCTACGTTTTTCCAACTGCAAATCTTGTACCAAATGGCTTCATTTGATAAAGCCACATGTTGCTTCATGATTACGCTTTTGTATATCACCTTTCCAATATGATTGGCCACGACAAATCTTTCCAGCCGAAAAATATTTATAGTGTAAACACCCATGACTCCATCTCCTAATGGGCCCGTAAAAGCCATCACCACCATTGCTGATTTCCCTTTCTCTCTAATCCCACGACTGGTGCATCACCTTTTCGTTCATCCATCCTATTGTTATATATATAAATAATATATATACAATTGCAAACCAAATCCACATTTCCTACTCTCTTTGTCGGCAACCTCAGGCCCACCACACAGAACAATTACACATTGTAATAAATAATTCAACCCATTTCTCTCATTCTCATCACCATATAACATATATACATATATACATATATATCATAAACATTACAGCATGGCCCATCAGGATAGTTCCAGCTCCAATTGTTAACAGCAGTCTACACTCGATTGTAAACTTGATTGAAAAACATATATATATATATATATATATATATGTAGTTATAATATTTTCTCATTTTTTATATTTTGTTAGTGTAATAGACAAAATTTCAAGTTTTTCCACATTAAGCACCCTTTTAAAAAGAACAGTAACAATGCTGCTACCATTCATGGAAGAAGTGATGATTGACTACTTCAACTTTAAGAATTCCCTTATCTGATAATTGCAAACGCGACATTTTTATTTGATATCGCTGGTTACAAGAAGGTAAGAAGACGGACTGAAAAGGCAAAGTGTCAACTCTTGCACAAACAGACTGAAAAAGAAAACCAGTACACAAGTAGAGACTTGAATTTAAGACCTCCCAAACCAAGGCCTAATACCATGTTATAACACCACTTAATTGCCCCCCATTAACTAGATTAAGCAACAGATGAATGGGTCCAGCAATGTATATCAAGCTCCCACATACCGAGCTGCCTCAAAGAACTGTCTACTTGTAGAATTCCATGGCCCAAAAGTTACAGGCGAAACATTCCATTCTAATGCCAGCAAATCCAGCCCCAGTTGCCAACGCGAGAAACTCCTGTTGCGTCCGCTCCTTACCTCCTGGGTTTTGAGTCAGCATGACCAGATCAATTTGGCAAATGCTTTTCACAGCCGAACTAGTTTCAGGTAGCACCGGAAGAATTCCCTCCACAACAATTACTTTCCCATTGTCTGGCAGAGCTTTATAGCAGTTCTTTAGCAACTTCAAGCAGTGTTCATCACTCCAATCATGAAGTATCCACTACCACAACATTGTTATCAAGTTCAAGTCAAATAAGTTGTAGACAGAAAAAGATGTAATCCTAGCACTTATGAGACACCAGAAAAGCTGAAAGAAAAATGTTGAAAGGTTAAAAGAGCAATGTTGTATATCCTTAAACGACTCTTAATTTCCACTGACATGTTGATCATTTTATCCTTTCAGTTCCAAACAAATCGATCATCATTTTGCTATTGTTTTAAAAAGTACCACCAACGCATCAACTGGAGTGGGGTTGCAGAACAATTCAGTAATGAATAATGCATTTTCCTTGGTACAAATTTGTATATCACTGCTCAATGTTAGCGTGTTAAAAATTCTTATAATTTGTAATTATCAATTACCTTCATAAAAATAGCAGCTCCTTCTGGTACACTTTCAAACATATCTCCCCCGAGATGTTCGATGCCTGCAAAAAAAGTTAATTTCATACTTAGGGTTGCCAGTGAAATGGTACATGACAGGGCTATCTGTTCTGTAAAACACAATCTGGTGACTAAACTTAGACCTTTAAGAGTTCAGCAATGAGTTACCATCTTATCAAAGAACATATAACCATCACAGTAGATAATCATATATAGGTTCAGACAATTTTGCCTATTGGACTTCATTAATATCAGTGAATTTAATTTTTTATACTCCTTTCCTTTTTTTCTTATCGAGCAAACGGTATATCCTTTTTGTAAATCCTTGCCATTCTTAATCTATTATTCAAACAAACACGAAAGATATGCTTGCATATTCATCTGAATGTCAAGCTAAATGTGTAATTATTGGAATAATTGTTGGCGACTCAAAGGAAGGGTATGGAAGCACAATAACTTACAAGCTGCTCTATATCTACACGAATCTAGAAAAATTCACTTGCGTTGTATTATTCAGTTTATATACCTGATCAGACAAACTTTTAATCAAACAATTTTTTTTTTCCTAGTTAGTACTCACACACACGTCTCTTTTGAGACTTTAACCCCTGACCTTCCTTTGGGAAGTAATAGGCTGATACCGCTAAGCTACTGACACGTTAGTTAATCAAACAGTTTCATTTCCTACATGGAAAACCCTTTCGGCCCACTTAGCCTTGGGGGTATTTTAGTGTTGGGTTCTATAGGAACTGGACAATCCTCTTTGGTTATCTATATGGTGACAAATTAAGTTCACTGTCAGTAAAGAATCTGACTACAGATGTCCATATTGTATTTTGTCAAACTGAAATATGAAGCTAGCAGATACCATAAAACGACCTAATAACATGAAGAAAAATTATGTTGAAACTAGAAATCTTACCAGGATAGGGTGGTGCATGTCGTATAACATGAGGCAAGTCAAAATTAATACCCTTAATAGCAGGGTATTTGGATGTAATCATGTTGAGGGTAACTCCGAGACCACCACCAACATCAACTAGCTTTGTAAGGTGCTCAAAACCCTTGTAGGACTCTAGGATTTTCTTGATTACTATAGTTGTGTGGTTCTTCATCGCCTTGTTAAACACCTCATTGAACCTGGGATCTTTGCCTGGGTAGTCAAATGCATGCGTTCCGTGGACTTTGTTAAAGGGAATGCCTCCTTCAACAACTGCACTTTTTAGTTCGTACCTAAGGCAAATTCAACCATGGAATTAGCTGCGACTTCCAATAGAAGTTCAATAATAGTATTGTAACTTGAACAATTCTAAAACTTTTATTCATGATTTCTTAATGAGAAAGAATTCAAAGTAGTTAGAATTTTACAACATTCACTCAAAAACATAAACAATTAAGACTTGAATAGAAGCAAGTAAACGGATAAGAAGTGTTTGGAGTTGGGTGTACCTACCAACCTATTGAACAAATATTCACATAGGGTCTCTTCAGTTGTTAATTATGTTTTGCTATAGTATTTAAGAATTACAATTATTTTAGCTGTCAATAATTCCACCTCCATGACCATCACATCACTTCAACAATCAACAATGATAGTTTTTTTTTTGGTTAAAACAATCAACAATGATAGTTGCTAATATAATAACAGAACTATGCTCATTTCTACAAGGGTAAAGTGCAAAAGAAAAATCATTTGCTATATAAAAATAATAATTGTGCAAAAGCCAATCTTGCTATACTGTATTTGCCCACGCTTATGGCATTCAAAAAAAAAAAAAAAAAAAAAATCTCTATAATTTGAAAATTTGTAGCAAGTTTCTATAGTCCATTTTGACCCATTTTTTTTTAATAAAAACCCCAAAATACTTTTAAGGGTATTTGAGATATTTCAGTCTTCAATTTTCTATAAAAAAATCCTAACAATTTTGTAAAAACCCCAAAAATTTTATAAAAAAATCCAAAATTTTGAAATCACTGCTTTTGTTTTTAATTTATTTTAAAGGCATTTTAGGTATTTCAATCTTCAAATTGAATGTATATATTTATTTATTTATTTGGCACTTCAAAATTGTATCCTATCCTGAATTTAACTGCAAATGTCTCGGGGCAGGATCAATCGTAAAATCAAATAGAGGATTACCTTGTACCCGACATAGAGCAGATACTTTGTGTGATCAATCGCCATCATCAATATGAAACTTGAAAAAAGAAAATGGTAAGAGGAATTAAGCAGGGATGAAGTTATACTTAGTAATTGAAGTACTGACCAGCTGTGTATGAAGACCTTGTCCTGAAGCAAAGCCATCAAGGGTCCTAATGATACTCCATCTTCATTCCTGACAAAGTATTTGGCAACAGGTGCCAATCCATACATCCTCCGGGTAGGCCCATCACAATCACCGTCAACTACGGAGCAAGTGAGCACGGAGTAACTTGCCAGCAGCCGGAGGATCCGATCCAGCATGGTGGGTGCCTCCGGGTTAGTAGTAGGTATCTGAGACGCGATCTCCACCGGGGAGAGGTGCGCCCCAGGCCCTGCTTTGGCTATGATCTCCAGCACCCCCAGCTCTATGGTGGCATTCAACACCATAGGCAGCGTCGAGGAGTTCACCAGTTCCATCGCATACGAGCAGTGCTGCTCTTCTTCATCACCATCAAGCTCATAAGAATTGGAGATCATTGTGTTCCTCTTTGTTGAATAAGAGCTCATTTTGCCTTTGATTTTCACTCACTAATTACTAGTCTTACTACTAGTTCATATAAATGGAAGGAAACAGATGGACACTATTTATAGGCATCCATAAACAGCATTATGTGAAGGTTGTATACTTTACTTTGTATGAGACCAGGTTGAGTGGTTGAATTTGGTTTGATATTGACGGGAAAAGTGATTAGCAGTCCAAGCTACCGGTTGCAAATAATGTTCAACTTTTTTATTTGGAAGACATGTGTAGCACACTTTACCTTTCGGGAAAAATTTAAAAATGAAAACATGGTACACCCTTTTTCTTTTTCTTTTTCTTATTTTTGCACTTTTATTAATTTATTTTTTATTTTTACACTATTTTTATTTATATGGCATTTGTTTGACATGTACATTGGTGTCTTGATTTGGAGGGCGTGACACACATGTGAAGGCACTATTTTTGCTGAGAACGATAAGTACCATCCCACTTCAAGATTGGATTGTTGTGGTGGGGACACTAGCTCATTGGAGTCGGTGTAAAAATCATATTTTCTATACTAATGGCTCCTAAAAAACAAAGGTAAAATTAAGTTGGGAAGTTGAGTTGGGAAGTTGAGGCGAGGTGTGAGAAATAGGTTGACTTTTTTAATTAGAGATCATTCATCAATAAATTCACCAAAAAAATTAAGTTTTTATTCTTAAAATTTTTTAATTCCATCACATCAATATCTTATATACAAAAAATAAAAATAACAAGTTAAAAAAAACACAACTTCCTAATATAGATTAATAGTAGTTTTCTTCTAAAAACCCCGCAATGTTCTGTTTGGTGTGCATAAATAGAATGTCTATTCTAACCATTCATTTATTTGGTATGCAATTTAAAGTGGGAATAGTCATTCCATTGGAATAAAAATTCATTTCTGGGAATGAAAATTCATTCCACAACTAAACCTATGGAATGGCCATTCCATTCCCAAGTAATTTATTTTTAAAAATCGACTTCTCAAAACACCCTCATATTCCAAGTCTAAAAACCACTATTACCTTCCACCACAATAATCTCCGCCTTTCACCACCACCACCACTACCACTGTCTTCCACCACCACCGACTTTCACCATCGCCCACCACTTTCGGCCACCGCCACCGCCACCGCCTTTCTCCACCATTACCGCCACTGTTTGCCGCAACCACCACCGCTACCGCCACCACTTTCCACCACCACCACTGCCATTGCCTTTCACCACCTTCCATCACCACCGCCGCCATCGCCTTTCATCACTGCTACCACCTTTCATCACCGCCACTGCTACCGCATTTCACAACCATCACCACCTTCCACCACCGCCACCACCACAACCCTACACCACCATCGCCGCCTTTCACCGCCACCGCCACCTTTCACCACCACCACTCTGATATCCCCAGATTTTCGAATACGGGTTGGCCAGGCCCACGCCCGAATACCAGAGGATATCAAAAACAAATTGGTAATAAACGAACACAGATTACAAAAGAATAAAGAAGAATAAATAAAATGCTGACAAGAAACTAAAATGATAATCCAATAATAAACCTCAGGATATATTTCCATTAATTAATGAACTCTTCTGATACAACTGATACTCCAAAGTACAATTCGGGAATCCATACTATGTGGACCCCTAAAAAAATCCAAACTAAACAAATGACAGCAATAACAGTCTAAATCAGGAAACTGAATCATAAACGAACTCCTATGTAAATAAACCGGAATAGTGAAGTAGATTGATCCCTGCTCAGCACGAATAATCTCTACTCCTGACGAACACCTGAAAAATAATGGTGGGTCAGACCCACAAACAAGTTCTACTCTACTACAATCCAAGCAGAGATTCGATACACGTATACATCCTAATCAATCCAACAATAACTAGTAGTCCGTATATATATATACACACTATAAGAACCTCACTAGACTATAGGGTTGTCTCAACCTGAATAGTAGGCAACATGCAAAACGCACATATAGTGAGCATGAGTACCTAAACTTACTAGGGTACACAACTATACTGTATCTAGCTACACATCCCACGCGCCCTAACCACTGATCCTGATACTCAAGCTCATATCATGGCACCATACTTATATATATATAATCTAGTAACCAACCTATCTAGTATAAATTAATCCTTCATAAATCATTCAACTTGTTCAGTTGACCTGACTTGAATATAAGTAAGACTTAACATTTTAGTTAATCTATTCTCTTATATAATAAATTAATCATCCACAAGTCATTCAACTTGTTCAGCTGACCTGGCTTAAATATAAGTAGGACTTAACATTTTAGTTAATCCATTCCCTTATATAAAATAGGTAGGACTTAACTGATAAGTTAATCCGTCCCTAGAATGCCACCGTCCCATACCGGTGCATTAAACCAGACAATCCAACAATTGATGTAACAATTAAGGAAATACATCAAACAATCCAGAAATAACTATGATAATATGATATCAAATTATCACAACATATCAATGACTTATTATTTATTTAAGCTTCCTATATCATATGTCTTACATAAACTGAATCTTATACATCATGATATTTTATTATACCGTCAAATAAGCATTCTACATATCCAGTTCATCCTGCACAGTTAATCTCAATTGCTAAAACATTTTAAAAGATTAAATCTATTCGTTTGTTTAAAACATTCAAATAGCAAGCATCATTATGATTGAGTCTATTTAAATTTATTTAAACCCAAACTTAGTCCCTATTTAATGTTCAGGAATCCTAGGCATTTTTCTACGTTCCATCATTCTACATAAATGAAAAATACATAATTTAAACATGTAAAAATTCACACCAGAAATCAAATCAAAATAATGTATTTATCAATTCATAACACAAGAACATATATAAACCAATTTCATAAAACTTATGTTCTAATTCAATTAAACATATATAATTATTTAATTTTATGTGTTTAATAAATCCTGGAATTTCCTAGGCATGTACAGAAACACGAATCAAAAGGAAAGAGATAGAAGAAGAACTTGCCTTAAACTTTCGGATCAAAAGTTAAACTTCTTCTTCCTAGATCCTCTTCTCTAAAGGGTTTTCTCCTCCTTCCTTCCTCTTCCTCCTTCTCTCTCTAACTCTCTCTTTCTAATATAAAATCACATATTATATTTTTTGAAGCCTCCTACGGATTTATACTTATTTATATATGGGCTAAAGAAAATTAATCATAATCCTAATTTCATTCCAAGTCAACTTAATAAAGAAAAATAAAAATAAAAATATAAAAAGGTAACGTAAAATATGTTACATATATAATTTATGTATATCCTTATTGAATAAATAAATTTTATACATCCCATTATTTATTAGCAGATTGTCTAATAATACTTAAGTTACCATAATATTATAAGGTAACCTAAAACATGATACATATATAATTTATGTATATCCTTATTTAAAAAATAAATTATATACATCCCATTATTTATTAGTGGATTATCCAATAATACTTAAGTTATCATAATATTATAAAGTAACTTAAAACATAACACGTATCAAATCTATGTATATTTTTATTATTTAAATATAAAATATATACATCATATTAAATATTACTACCCAAGTTACCATAAAAGTAATTAATAAATTACCCATTATTTAGTAATGGATTATGCAATAATACTTAAGTTACCATAATATTATAAAGTAACTTAAAATATAACATGTATCAAATCTATGTATATTTTTATTATTTAAATATAAAACATATACATCAGATTAAATATTACTACCCAAGTTACCATAAAAGTAATTAATAAATTATTTTTCCTTTTATATATTTATATAATATATATCTATATATATATATATCTACACAACTATCCATGGGTAATAATTCATACACATCTAACCTCCTATCCAAGTAGTCCATTGCCCCCAATTGGTTAGCCCATTACTACTAACCATAATCATAAAAAAAATAATAAAATAATAATAAAATAAAAGAAAATATTTAATTTACAATTAATCAAAACACCATTTAAGCACATAATCTAATTAAACAATTAACACATAGACAAATACAAATAACACATAGACAAATAATCAATACTCAAGTAACACTTAATTCAATTAAACCCATAAGCAATTAGTCAAATAATCAATTAAATAATTAAAAATACAATTAAAACAAATAAATAAATATCGAGACTATCCTTTTAAAATTAGGGGTATTACAACCACCTTCTGCCACCACTACCTTCCACCATCGCCACCGCCATCGCCGCTTTTCACTACCGCCACCGCCACCGCCGCCTTTCACCACCACCGCCGCCACTGCCACCACCACCTTTGTGATACCCCTCGGATCCGCGACACGGGTTGATCAGGCCCAAGCCCGAGCCCGAGGGAATATCAAACAATTAAAGTATTTTATAATGAACACGGAATACAAAATGAATTAAGAAATAAAATCAAAGCTGAAAAGAACTAAAAATAGAATCCGCAAAATATTATAATTATTAAAATCCATCAAACCCAAACTCCATCAGTTTACAACTCGGGAATCCATCTCTAGTGGACCCCTATTAAACATCCAAACGGAAGATAGAACAACTGTAATAAACATCCAAAAATAAAACCATAGAGAGAGCCCTACATCGTCGGAAGAGTAAATAGAGACCTCTGCTCAGCACGAACACGTCTAAGCCTGGAACTGTCGTGTACCTGAAAAATAGAAGTGGGTCAGGCCCACGCGCAAGTTCTATACTACTACAATCCAAACAGAGGCCCGATACGCATGTACATCCTAAACAATTCAACAATAGCTAATAGTCCGTAAATATATATATAGTCACACTAAAGGACTCTCACTGGACTACAGGCCGGTCTCAACCTGAATAGAGGTAACATGCTAAAACGCACACGAAGTGGGCATATGTACCTATACCTAAACAGGGTACACCTCTAACCATCGTATCCAGCTATGCATCCCAATGCATATACGCTTCCTAACTGTCGATCCTGAGACTCAAGCTCATATCGAGGTACCATAACAATATATTTTAAATCCATCATGTATCCTAGTAGTGTCGCTCAACTAGTTGTTGCCATGACACTACAAACAATAGGACTTAACTTTTAGTCAATCCTATTATTAATCCAGAGTAGGTAGGTTTTGGTATTTTTGAAACCAAACCATCCCTAGTATACCACCGTCCCATACCGGTGTATACAATTCATCCGTCCAGCAGTTGATAACATAGTCGCTAAAGGTAAATATCAACTAAGTCCATACATCCGTCACTGATACTAACAGTTATCAGGTAATCATAAATACGCATAGTTAAACTATATAC